AAAAAGGAGAAAAAAAGTTTAATTAAGAAAAGTATCTGCAGTGCTAGGATCGGCGCGACTGAAAAATGGGATCGGGCGGGGGGGTCAGAGCTGGGGGTGGGGGGGAGGTGCAGGGCCGGGAGGGGAAATATTTCATGTCGTCGACGATATTCTCAAAAGAAGGAGCGTTGTAATGAGGAGGGAGGGGGGGGACAAGTTGAGCTTCAGATAATTAGTTTCTGAGAGCCCCAATTATGCCCCCCCCCCCTCCACCGCCTTGCGAGCCTTGCGTGTCTCAGCATCCCCGGAGAGGCTTCAGTCCAATTAAACTCTCAATTGTTTTCGTTGATTTTTTCCCTGTTGCCCGCCGCCGCCGCCAAGCGGGGCGGCGGCGTTTTTGACTCGAGCGCCCCCGCGCCCCCCTCCCGCCCCGCGCCGCGGCGGGATTTTTCTAAGACTTCCCGGCTGCAATTGTGCCCCCGGTCGCTTTTACGTAAACAGCCCGCGACCCGCCGCTGCCGCCGGGCAGCGGGGTGGCTCGGCGGAATGCTGAAAGGGGCGAGTGCCGATGCAGGCGGTTTATGTAACGCGGCGCTGAAAGGGTCGCGGATTTGCTCCGTTTTTCTCCCGTGAGAATTTTTCCGGGGACGAAGCGTGCGTCCTCCGGGCTGATTGTTGGAATGGAGATGTTGCATGTGTGAAGGATTTGCGATTTGACCATTGATTCTTTTGTAAAAGTTCGCGAGAAACACGATGGCGCCCCTGGTTTTCTCTGAAATTATCTCCCAAGCTCTCAAAGTGAGGCCAAAATGGAGGGGATATCCCACCCTACCCTGATACTGAGAGTCTTCCTCTACATCAAGACAAACGCTCCATGCAAAGATAGGGAGCAAATACATTGACAGGGTCGTCGTGTTTTCAGTTTTGGAGTCCCAAAATAAAGTGGCAGCCCTGTCAATGTATTTGCTCCCAATCTTTGCGTGGAGAATTCGTCTTGATGTAGACGTGGACTCTCAGGGTAGGGTGGGATATCCCCTCCATTTTGGCCTCAACTTGAGAGCTTTTTTTGAGCTTGGGAGTTGATTTTAGAGAAAACCAGTGGCACCATCGTGTTTCTCGCGAACTTTTACATAAGAATCAATGGTCAAATCGCAAATCCCTCACACATGCAACATCTCCATTGAATCAGTGAGATCGAAAACTCACCAACTCGGTAACTTGAAAATGTTCAATTTTCATTGAAGACGGTCGATTTTTATAAAGGTCATTGAAGTTAGCGCATCTGTTCCAACTTGGACCTTTAAAATGTCCTTAAGTGCTTGTATTTCGGCACCAAAAATATTTTTCTTAGACTAATTTCTTCATCTACTGTATAGTTTTGTCTTGGTTACTTTTATTTTTCTGAGTTGGTGTGTTTTCGTTCTCACTGATTCAGTTGATAGACACAGTTATAGACGAAGAAGACAAAAAGAATACGGAAAGATCCTATTCTGCCGTGCTAAGGAAGAACACCATATGAACATTCGAGAGTTGCCAAATTTCCCTTGATAAAACATGTATTTTTGACGACATTCATGCACATTTATCTTTGAAATTTTCACATTTTCTGATTGAATTGCGTGCGACATTGTCTGAAAATTTCGAGAGAAAATATTCACAATTTTCCCTGTAAATGTGGTTTTTATCGAAGAAACCAAGGGTGTCACTACCGCGGTAGATGATGTTATGAATCGAATTTTACAAAGCGCCATATCTCGGTTAATATTGAACGTAGAAAGTTGCTGTTGGGACTGATCCTAAAATTTTCAACTGATCGACGAGAATGAATGAACAAAATACGATTCAGTGACCACCGACAGGGTGGCATAAAACGTAAGAAAGAAATGAAAGATTGGACATTTCAGCGAAATATTTCATATTTTTCATGGGCTAGAGTATGCAACCCGCACTCAAATACACAAAAATAGAGGAAATTTACAATTTTTATAATTTGTGAAACATGAAAAGGAACTGGTATTTTTCAATATCAGTCATAAATTTCATGAAATATTACACGTGAAATTTCAAGATTCTGTTTTTCATGAAATTCTGCCACCCTGACCACCGAAACTGACCTATTCACCCGCAGTGTCCGTAAAAAAAAAAAAAATTCAGCCCGATCGGAGGTGGTAGATCGGGAATTTTCCCTTGTCAGCTCTTTTCAATTTGACATTGTTATTCCTTGTTCTGCGCAGGAATGGAGGCGATAATGTCGGAGTTCTTCAACGACACGACGACAGCGTTTTACATTATCCTCATCGTGTGGGTGGCTGACCAATACGACGCCATCTGCTGCCATTCGCCCATCACCAAGCGCCATTGGCCCAAGTAAGTGGAAAATCATTTTAATAAATAATAATAATTCATTTCCAGCCTTTAAACCCTATGGGGCATTCAGAACTCCTTTAAAACTCCTTCAACCGTAGTGTAAACCGTATGAGGTCTCCTAAGGGAAGGAGTTGTTTAAGGAACGACTGTGATTATGCACGGGTGTCTAGCATCAGGATTTTCCCGATTTTCCTGATTCTATCAGGATTTAAGGTCAATCAGGATTGCATTGCCGATTTCATCAGGATTTGAAGAAAAACCGGTCGCAAAATCAGGATTTGAGAAAAGAGCTTGTATTTCATCATTAGAACTTAATTCTAGAGTTCTGCTTTCTCAAACGCTTATGCAAAAATTTTAATATTTCTCCGCAAAAAATCAGGATTAGATCAGGATTTGGTACAGTTATGGAATCAGGATTTAGCAGTCAAAAATCAGGATTTCATCAGGGTTTTCAAAAATGAAAAAAAAACTGAACACCCTGGAGCACCAAAAACACACCCACGCGAATATCGTAGATTTCAGTTATCCCCGTCAAAAGCGCGTCGACATCATACCCCCGCAATCAACTCCACCTAGCGGACGGAACCGGCACCAACAAGGACAAGGGTCACCGCGGGATCGACTTAAACCCGTCGAAGGATCGGCGCCAAATCGGCGGCGGTGGTGTCACAGGGTCTTCCGTCGCGTCGTCGGGCTTTAATCAAACCCGCG